ATGGACTCTTGAAAAACAAAGCCACAAGCAATTCCACTCCTAGGTATGGACCCAGGAGAACTGAAGACACGTCCACACGGAACCTTGTGCAGCAATGTTCACAGCAGCTCTGCTCCTAAAGCCAAAAGGCAGACACAGCCCAAATGCCGCCAACTGATGCAAGGATAAACAAGATGTGCTGCACCCACACAACGAATGCTACTCTGCAATGAACAGGAACCAAGTACCAATACAGGCTACCACATGGAGGTACCTTGCAAACTCTATGCTCAGTGAAAGAAGCCAGATGCAAAAAGCCACATAGTATATGATTCCATTCATATGAAACGTCCAGAATAGGCAAATCCATAGAGACAGAAAGTAGATAAGTGGTTGCCAGGGGTTGGGGGTGACTGTTCATTAGTACAGAGTTTCTTTTTGGGGTGATGAAAATGTTCTGGAATTAGATAGCGGTGATGGTTGCACAATTTTGTGAATATACTAAAACCCACTGTATGTTATACTCTAAAAGGGTGAATTTTATGGTATGAGAACTATATCTTAATTTTTAAAAGTCACAATATCGTCAACCTAAAATAATGCCTAAAAAAATGAATAATAATCCTTAGTATTAGGAATCTTATCCAACAGCCCGTCAGGGTTCATTCCCTGATTATCTCATAAATAATTTTATTTCCCACCGTTTGTTCGAATCGCACCCTAACAAGGTCCACACGTTGCATGTAGTTAATACACGGATAAACCTCTTTAAACCAGAAGGTCCTCTCCCCAACTCTTTTCTTGCAATGTGTCTGTGGAAGGACCCAGGCCCTTTGCATCTCCCCATAGTCTGTGTTCTGTTGCATCCCTGGGTGGGAGACCCCACATTCTCAGCCTGCCAAGCTTCCCAAGTGGGCTACCCCACCCCACCCCCCGGGGGCAGCTGGCTAGATGGCAGACGACTTGCCAAAGAAACGCCACTGCAAGGCTGGGGCTGGGACAGAGCCAGGGCGCCAGGTAAACTGGAAGGGCTAGGCCTTATTTGCAAACTGTTTGCTGAATGAATGGTGGTGGTTGTCAGAGAGACCACGAGGTCCCCACAAACAAGACCCTTCCCAGGCCCTCTTACCTGCCGCTCAGCACAGACTTCGCGGGGACCTCCCACGCCTGCAGCCGGAGCTGTACCCGGCCCTGTGCGGGGGTGGGAGCGGGAAACTCGGGTCTCGTCCTCAGCCAGGTGGCTTCCACCACCCCCTTTCATCAGGTGGATGCCAAACTCCCATCCCAGCCCATAAGGCTTTGCGGGGCAGGACTGGCTATCCTCTGCCGCCTGCCCCTGAGACCTCACTCTGCTGTTGTACCCTGGCCAGATTCCACCCATTCTCGGAACACACCCAGGTCTTTCCCTCCTCAGGGCCCTTGCGCCTGCTGTTTCCGCTGCGTCAATGCTCCTCCACACCCCCCGATTTTTCACAGGGATGAAAGTGTAGAGGCTCCGAGTGGCCCTTCCTGCCCTTCTCCCTAATGTCCCCCCGACCCCTGTCTCTACCCCTTTGTTCTCTCTGTTTTGAGTTCTTGAAGGACCTTTCACATCTCCTCTCTTTGCTTTTTTTTGCCAGGTTTGGTAATTCCTATTCTCTCTTAAATAGAATCTCAGCTCAGTGAGGGTAGCACCCTGTGCCTAGACTTGAGCACAGAGAAGGTTGGTGGGCGGGTGGGTGAAGGACCCCGGGCATGTGCAGGTCACAGAGTCTCTCCCCATCTCACAGATGGGGAAACAGAGGCCCCGGCACAGCTGAGGTCCATCTGGGTAGAAATCCAGGGCTCACCCTGTGCACTGCCTGCCCCCACAAGGTGGACGGGGGCCCCGAGGGCAGCCCACAGGAGGGCTCCACCTTCCTCCCTCTGCTCTGCCTCCCTGGGCGCCCTGCCCTGGCTGCCAGCCTGGAAAGGGACAGGGGCAGGGGCAGGCGGGAGGGGCGCTGTGAAGTGGGCACAGCTTCTGTGGGAGGCAGGAGGGCCAGATGCCCAGACAGCAGGGTGGGAGCCCCGGGCCCTGGGGGCCTGGACACACCCTAGCCTGGAGTCACAGCATAGCCAGGTGAAATACAGGACACCAGGTAAATTCCAATTTGAAATAAACTACTGATAATTTTTACTCTAAGTATGTCTCAAATACTGCAAGGGATATACTTATACTAAAAAATCATTGTTGTTTACCTCAAGTTCAATTTCACTGGGCTCCCGTATTTTTATTTGCTAGATCTGGCAACTCTGCTTGGGGGAATGGCAGGGCCCTTGCCAGGTGCCAGGCGGGCAGATGTGAGGGCTGGCGAGATCTTAGGGAGTGCCGCCTGTGGGAACCCAGGCTGAGGGTGGGGAGCGGCTGCAGGCCCGGGAATGCCAGGCCTGGGGGCTGGTGCTTCCACCTGCCCGACGGGGGAATGGGTCCCAGCGTTCCGCCATGGCAGTTCACGCCCAAGCCCCTGCCTTCTGGTCCTGGTCCTGGAGTCCCATCTCGGGGAAGGGCCACGCACGGTCCCCTGTCCCGGCTGCCATTTGTCCCGGTAGGAGCAACGTGGGGCCCACAGTAGGTGCTCGGGGCAGTGGCCGGCCGAGTGCAGCTCCCGTTTCCTGATTTAGACAGATGCCCTCCGTGGAAGTAGTGTCTCCAGCACAAGGCTCACGTCCCGTGTGCTGCCCGGCCCACGGGGGTTCCTTGGACCCCAGGCCCCTCTACCCGTGGCCACAAGTCACTGTCACCAGGGCCGCTGTTTCCTGAGTCCCTAAACACACGTGTTTTCTCTAGTCCTTGCATCATCCCTCTGGGAGGGGGGAACGGTGGCCCCCTTTTACAGATGTGGAGACTGAGGCCAGAGAAGTCTCCTGCCCACGGCCACTCAGTCAGGGAGTGGCAGAGCCACGTTCCAAGCCAGGCCCGCCCAACTCCAAATGTTGACCTCCAGGGGCCATCTAGAGGCCGGTGGCTGCCTGAACCTGGAACTCCTTCCCCCGGGGTTTGTTCTGGCTCTAGAGATGGGGGCTCCTTGCAGTTCTGCTCCCCAAGCCCCTCCTGGCCCAAGACCAGTGGAGGGTTACTAGGGTGAGGATCCCAGTGGCTATATTCAGTGGTACCAGTGTGAGGGGAGAAGGTCAGTGTTTCCCAAAAGTCTCTGTTCCCAAGAATTCCCCAGAGTCCTTACTAAAAGCAGATTCCCAGGCCCTGGCCCTGGAGATTCAAAAGGCCTGGCATATGCCCTGGAATCTGCCTTTTAACCAGCGACCCCAGGTGAATTTGCTCAGCCAGTTTCAAAGCCAGTGATGAATGCCCTGCAGAACCCTTGGGCTTCTGCCCACCCCCCAAATTCCGCAGGCTGACCCCACAGAGGGCCATGTGGGTGTGCATGTAGGGAGGCATTTTCTCTTGGGGAGAGACTGCCAGAGCCCCCATGTCTGGGCCCAGCATCTGCATCCTCAGCCTTTGCCCCCTTGTGGACAAGTCAGGAGGGGGAGAGGGGCATGACCCCCTGTTTGGGGGTGACTTTCACACCCCTAACCTGATGGCTGAGAATGACAGTTTGTCCCCAAATGGGGCTTCCAAGGGGGCTTTCCTACCTCCTCACCCCCTTGAGGACTCTCTGAGCCCCAACTTAACAGATGCCAATAGCTGGTGATTCCCAGGGTTGGAGGAAAAACCCCTAAATGTTCTGCAACGGCTTCTCACCTCCACCTGCTGGGGGCGGGGGGGAGGGGAAGCTAGGGCACCCCAGTCTTTCAGTGTGAGACTCGTCTGTGCCTGGAGCTGGTTCTGGGCTGGAAGAGCCAACAGGCCTTTCTAGAAAACCAGGCTTTGGTGGTTTAGATACGTACAGTTCAAAGGGTGGTCCAGAGGCCAGCAGAATCAGCATCACCTGGGAGCTTGTTAGAGATGCAGACCCCCTGACTCCTGAAGACGGTATTCTGTCCCCCAAGAGAAAGCACCCTCTCCACACATCCCTGGCAGGCCCATTGTGGGGTCAGCTGCGAGAATGGAGGGGGTGCCAGCCCAGGGATCGGAGCTTAGGCAGCTCCCTGCAGCTCTGCATCCTCCTCCTCCTGGGCACACCCCGGGCTGGTCACCTCTGCAGGTACCACTGGTGGGTGAATTGTGTCAGGAGCTTGCGGACCAGCAGCCCTTTTCCGGGTCACCAGGGATGGGGGACGGGCCCCTATTGCCCGTGGCAGGAGGGCAAAGGGCAGGACTAGGGGCCTTGGCATCTAGACTCTCAGCCCTCTGCCCCTGGGTGGGGGGGTCAGGAGAGAGAGAGAGGGCAGAAAGGAGGGGGAATGACCCTGTCCCGGGCGGGGAAAGACCTCCAGGTGGTCAGCCTTCTTTCGTGGGAGGTCCCTGGGCAGGCCTGTACATCCAGAAACACTAATACTGCTAATCGTTATTTTGTGCTCAGTATGTGTCCGGCGCCTGGATGCGAGCAGATGTCACTGTGGTCAGCAGTGGTTCCAAGCTGTGGCTGCAGCAGATTCACCTGTGACAAGGCAGATTCCAGGGCCCCCTCCAGGCCTTCTGAATCTCCAGGGACAGGCCTGGGAATCTGCTTTGACTACCGGCCCTGGGGAATTCTTGGGATCAGAGACTTTGGGGAAACACCGACCTTCTGCAAACCTTGAATGAGGATGTCACCGACATCCATTCATTCACTCGTTCGCTCGCTCATGCCACATCTGTGGAACATCCACCTCAATCACTGACCCGCCCGCTCTATTCCGCCCAGGATCACTGTTCACGGTCCCCAAGGCCGCCCGTGAGCCGGAATCGTCCCCACCCCGCCGCCGCGCTCTCTTCGCCCTCGACCCCTCCACTCTGGGCGTCAGCTCTCTGTCTCCTAGGCGCAGCGCCCAGAGAGCCCCTGGGCCCTGGGACCCTCCCAAGCCCCGCCCCGCCCGGGCAGTCGAGCCCACCTCCCCAGCCCGCGACTGCGCCCTGGGCCCCGCGCGCCCCGCCCCCACCCCGCGACCTGCGCGGAGGCTGCGCCGCGGGGCGCAGGCTCGGAGCCCACCGTTCTCTGCCCGGAGGGCATCCCAGCCCCTTGGCGGCGAGAGGCGGAGCCGGAGCCTGGGCGGTGGGCTCCAGGTGGGCTCTGGGAAGGATGAAGCAGGTAGGGCCGCGGGGATGCTGAGGTGGGAGGATGGTGGCGAGGACGGGCGGAGCCTGCGGGAGCGCTGGGAGGAGCGGGGAGGAGGGATGCTCGAGCCTGGGCCTGGGCCTGGGCCGGACCCCAAACGGGCAGGAGAGGGGAGAAGGCCTCGGATCACAGCCGCAGGGGAGGAGCCCCGCCTGCAAAGAGGGTGGCGGTGGGGATGTGCACCGCGGGCGGGCCTGCCACCCGCCTTTGGTGTCCCCCCAGGCCCTGGTGGACGACACTGAGGACGTGTCCCTGGACTTTGGCAATGAAGAGGAGCTGGCCTTTCGGAAAGCCAAGATCAGGTGTGTTGGGACTGCAACATACATTCGCCCAAAGCTGCAAATTCATTCACTCACATTCGCTCACCTACTCATCCATCCATTCATTCACAATATACTGAGCACCTAGTGTGTGGGAGACGTGGGCTAGGGACACTCCCTGGACAGATCAGACAAGGCTGCTGGAGCCTGCAGTCTGTGCGGGAGGGCACTAACATTGAACAGGCAAACAAAGATATTAACAAGATGATGACAGAGTGTGAGAAGAGCTGGGAAGAAAATCAACAGTGTGATGAAAGAGAAAGTAACTGAGGAAGGCTATTTGCCCTAGTGCAATCAGGGAGGACCTGTCTGAGGAGGTGACATTTGAGCTGAGACCTGAATGATGAGAAGCAGCCAGCCATGGGAGACTTTGGAGGAAGGGTGTTCCAAAGGGAAGGAACAGCAGGTGCAAAGGCCTCAGGCAAAGGCCCAGAGGCGAGGCTGTGTTGGAAGGTCAGAGAAAAGCCACTGTGTCTGGAACATGGTAGGGGAGGAGAGAGGGGTTGTCAGGAGGCTAGAGAGGTGGACAAGGGATTGAATTTTTATACTAATCCCTGTTCCAGCTCCAGACAGACAGACATAGTGTCCTGAGTCAAGTCACTTGCCTGCCTGAGACCTTTGGCATCCCAGAAGGCGGCAGGACTAAGGTGTGAGGAATGACCCATGGACACTGATGACCCAGGCAGCTGCCACATCTAGAAGCACCCTTGGCTCAGCCACACTCACTCACCTGCTTCTGTCCCATCTCTCTTTCCAGCCATTAGAGCCAGCAGGCGTGCGGGCCTGGCACCTGGCACTAAAATTCTCTGATTCAAATCCAGTAAATGGAATAGGATGGTATTAGTTTCCTGTGGCTGCTGTAACAAAGCACCATAAACTTGTTGGCTTAAAACAACAGACATTTATTCTCTCACAGTTCCAGAAGCCAAAAGTCCAAAATCAGTTTCCCTGGGCTGAACCAGGGTGTCGGCAGGGCCACTCTCCCTCCGGCAGCTCTAGGGGAAAATCTGCTCCTTGCCTTTTCCAGCTCCTGGTGGCTGCTGGCTTGGGGCCCCTCCCTCCATCTTCAAGGCCAGCTGTGTAGCCTCTTCAAACTTCTCTCTGCCCCATTTTCACGTTGTCTTTTCCTCTGTGTCACATCTCCCTCTGCCTTGCTCTTATGTGGTGACTTGTGACTGCATTTAGGGCCCACCCGGACAATCTCCCCATCTGGAGATCCTTAACTTCATCACATCCGCAAAGTCCCTTTTGCATATAAGGCCTCATTCACAGGTTCCAGGGACTGGGACCTGGATGATTGGGGGCCCATTATTCAGCCTACCCTATGACCAGTGATTGTCTTTAAGGAAAGACACTGAAAGAGAATGGGAATCCTGGGGAAAGAATCTTGTAGAACATCTAAACTCGTTACATGTTCTGTCTTTATTGAGCACCTGCTGTATGCCTAGCTCTGGGCTGGTGGCTAGGGATGTGTGGTATACGGGACACACCCCTACCTTTATGGAGTTGTCTAGAGCAAGGATGGTCAGCCTCAACAATGCTGACATTTTGGGCTAGACACTTTGCTGTGAGAGTGGTTCTGTGCATTGTAGGGTGTTTAGCAGCATCTCTGGCCTCTACCCACCAATGCCAGTAGCACCCCACCAGTAATGTCTCCAGACACTGCCAAGTGTCCCCTGGGGGACAGACTTTCCCCTGGTTGAAAACTGTTGGTGTGTGTGGGGTAGGGTGTAGGCATGCCCATGGCTGTTATGACTCAGTGTTTTAAATGCTGTGATAGGCAAAAGCTTGGGCACTTAACCTAGTCAGGGGAGAAGTGACAGCTAAGCTGAGACCCGGAGGATGGGTAGGAGTTAGCTAAGCAGGGAAGGAGGGAAGGTGTCACGTGCAAAGACTTAGAGGTAAGATCATGAGTTTAGAGAGTTGAGAGTGGTTTACTGTGGCTCAAGACCAGGGATGCTGGGGAGTGGTCTGAACAGAGGCTGGGGCCAGACCCTGAAGTCTGTCCACTAGATCTTTCTATGAGGATGAGAATGTGCTATATCTGTGCTGTCCAATATGGTAGCCACCAGCCACATGTGACTATTGAGCGTTGATATGTGGCTAGTGTGACTATGGGACAAGTTTGTGTGTTCAATTTTAATTAATTTAGATTTAAATAGCCACGTGTGGCTACCATAATGGACAGTACACTTCTAGAGTTTGGTCACCACTGAAGGGCTTTGTGCTGGGCAGAGATGTGGTCAGAGTTGCAGGAAGGGGCGTGGACTGTAGGGGCAGATGGAAGCAGGGAGCGGAAGCCGGGGGCTTGGAGCAGGGCACTGGCAGCGGTGATGGAGGAAGTGGAGGGGCCCAGAGGCACGGTGGAGGTAGAACCAGCCGGCCTTGGTGATGGTCAGGATGTGGGGTGGTGACAGGAATAGTCAAGGGCGATGCCCAGGCTCCTGGCCTCGTGATAAAGGTGCAGGAGCACTCGGAATCAAAAATGTTGAGCCCAGAGTGGTCCTTGTTGGGTTGTGGCGGAACATTCTAATGGCCAGGGTTGGTGGGCAGCTGGGAAGAGAGGCTGGTCTCTCAGGGATCTTCTGGGCTGCATTCAGAGACCGGGGAGGCAGCAGCTCACCGACCATTGTGTGTTTGAGAGCCAGTAACCCCAGAATCCTCTGGTGTGCCGAAAGCCGATTTCTGCGCCCAGCCCTGGACCTACTTAACCAGATTCACAGGGGATGGCCTGGGAATGTGAATTTAAAATATCATCTCTAATTGATTCTGATGCTCAAGAATATAGAGGTGGCTCTGAAATCCTAAGAGTAAATGAACCCACCCAGATAGCAGGGTGGAAAGGGGCTTCTCAACGGAGGTCCATGGATGGGCTTTAGGGGGTCCAGGACCCCTCTGAAAACTATTATCTGAGTTTCATATGTGTGCTGCTTTAGGAAAAGGGCTCGAACTTTTATTGGATTATCAAGTGGGTCCATGATCCAGAAAAGTTAAGAATCACTAGTATAGGGTGGGAATTGTTATTTGTAAATTCCATGTTGAAATGGATGCCAGGTTGACCTTGAAAGGAGGTGATACTATGGACGGGACCCTACAACAGGAGTCTGGGATATTGTGGCCACTTCTTCCTTTACGACTGGCTGGCTTTGTGATTTTGGACGGTTACCTTGCCTTGTTGGGCCTCCGTTAACCCATCTGTAAAATGGGGATAATTGTACCAGCCTGACTTCACCATGTGCTTGCTAAACAATTTGTTCAGTAAATATTTATCCAGCGTCTGTGTCCCAGGTGCTGGCTTAAGCCCTGGGGATCGAGACCTGGTTCCTGCCCTGCCAGTCTTGGTTCCAGGTCAGTGAGGTGCAGTGTTGCAGTGGGGGCTCCTCGGGGAGGGCACCTGGCAGGATCAGCAGAGGATGTGACCCCACAGCACGCCTGGGCAGGTAGAGGAAATGCTCTGTGTGCGTGTGTTTTCCCCAGTGGGCCACTTTTTTCTTTTTTTATTGTGAAAACAAACCCCACAATATAAAATTTACCATCTTAACCGTTTTTAAGTGTACAGTTCAGTAGTGTTAAGTATATTCATGTTGTTATGAAACAGATCAGATCTCCAGAACTCTTTCATCTAGCGAATCTGAAACTCTGTATCCATGAAACAACAACTCTCCATGCCCCTCTCTCCTCAGCCCCTGGTAACCATCATTCCTCCTTTTGTCTCTATGAATTGGACAACTTTGGATACCTCATATAAGTGGAGTCATATAGTATTTGTCTTTCTGTGATTGGCTTATTTCACTTAACATAATGTCCTCAAAGTTCATCCATGTTGTAGCACCTGTCAGAATTTCCTTCCTTTTCAGGGCTGAATACTATTCCATTGTCTGTGTGGACCACATCTTGTTCATCCATCTATCAGTGGACACTTGGGCTGCTTCCATGTTTTAGGTCTTGTGAACAGTCCTGCAGTGAACATGGGTGTGCAGATATCGCTTCAGTTCTTCCTGATAAATACCCAGAAGTGGAATTGCTGGGTCATGTGGTAATTCTATTTTTAATTTTTTGAGGAACTTCCATACTGTTTTCCATAAGAGTTGCAGCATTTTACAATCCTACCAGCAATGCACAGGGTTCTAATTTCTCTACAGCCTCACCAACACTTGTTATTTTCTGTTTTTTCACAGTAGCCATCCTGGTGGGTGTGAGGTGGTACCGCATTGTGGTCTTGATGGACATTTCCTTAGTGATCAATGATGTCGAGCATTTTCTCATGTGCTTGTTGGCCATTTGTACATCTTTGAAGAAATGTCAGTTCAAGTCCTTTGCTCATTTTTTAATCGGGTTATTGGATTTTTTGTTGTTGAGTTGTAGTAGTTCTTTGTATAGTCTTGATATTAATAACCCTTTATGAGATATATGATTTGCAAATATTTTCTCCTATTCCCTAGGTTGCTTTTTCACTCTCTTGATTGTGTCCTTTGATGCACAAAAGTTTTTTAGTTTGATGTAGTTCTATTTGTTTTTACTTTTGTTGCTTTTGCTTTTGGTGTCATATTGTGTGTGTGTTCTAAATTGAAATATAATTCACCTATCATAAATTCACCCTTTTAAAGTGTACAATTCAGTGTGGTTTTTAGTTTATTCACAAAGTTGTGCAACCATCATCACTATCTAGTTCCAGAAATTTTTCATCACCCCAAATGGAAACCCTGTGCCCATTAAGCAGTCTCTTCCCATTTCCCTCCTCCCTCCAGCCCCTGGCAGCCACTAATCTGCTTTCTGTCTCTGTGGATTTGCCTATTCTGGACATTTCATATGAATGGAATCTTACAACATGAGGCCTTTTATCTGGCTTCTTTCACTTAGCATCATGTTGTCAAGGTTTGTGCATGTTTGGCATTTCTTCATTCCTTTTTATGGCTGAATAATATTTCATTGTATGGATAGAGCACATTTTGCTGATCTGTTCATCAGTTGATGGACATTAG